ACTAGCCGATACTACGCTATATGGAAAGGCCACCAAAAACTGGCCTGGCCTGGACGATAAAGGACGTTTAAACGGGGCTACCCGCTGCAATGGAAATGCGCTATAAAACATACCTTATTCTTACTCCGAGCACTACTTCTGGTCCTCCGTCGCTTCACACTTGCAGAGGGCGATTTCTCAACTGGCCGAACTGGTGTCCTGGTCGGTGATGACACCAGAAAGACCGATGGTACTGCATCTCCATTAAGTAATGGTTGTTCAATAAATCCCATGTTATGTTTTATCATACTCTCAGAGTAGTCGTCCGGAAACTTGAAATGTTCGCTGCATACATGCGCCTGTGGATCTTTCGGTTCGGGCCGGCCACATTTCGCTAGCCACTGCCTCCGAACGTACTTCCTACGCTTACCTTTTGGCAACAGATGGAACCGAGCATTCCGTGGATTGTTCCTATCAGAATTGTGGCAATGTTTCGCGATACAATGAGGCATATTTGAAGAGAGTAACTACAGTAAATAACATGAACATCAACGTGTCCTCGAAACCAAACGCATGGTTTACGTCACGTCCGGTAAAATGGCGCCGCCCAAAGTGTTGATGTTATTTCGGTAATTAATCAGTTTAAGGCGAGACACCCCAGGTGAATAGGGTAATTTTTTTTAACTTAAAGGTATCAGCTAGAAATTTCTCCAGTTAATTACTTACAATAAGGCAATTGTCTTTTGTATTACAAGTTTCTGAAATAGCATGTTTAAATATGCAAATTATCCATTATCTCATTAAATATGCACATATTTTAACACATTTCAGGAATCGAAATCTGAACTTTGGATATAGCCAGATTCAAAATTATTGTTTCATTTTGTAGTCATATTAGTATCTAAGGCTTTTACAGAAGGGATATTGGATATCTCTTTTTATCATTCCATAAATCAGAAAATACTGTCAACAGCCCTAAAATATCAATTTTCGCCATGTTTTTAGGTATACAATGTTGTATAATTCAGGCTATGAATGATATATGAACAAACCCTTCTGTAAAAGCCTTCATAATATTGATAGGAATATAACTGGAAGGTTTGGTGTATCTACGTGCAACTGAAGTTGAAATTTCGAACTCAGAGTAGGAGAAAAAACTCATTTTGAGAAAACGACCTTTAAAGATTGCAGTGAGAAGCTAGCTAAACCCTCCTGTTCTTTGGACGACAGCTTGCGCATCGACGCACTCCGTGAAGGTATTTCATGTTCAGGGTCATTTTTTTTTTTATAACCTTGCTTCGTGCAAGTGACAATTGTTGTCGTCTGCTCTGTAAACGTTTTTTTCGCCGTTCTTTTGGCATTTTGAGATTTCAATTTCTAGCTGAAAGCTAACCAGGAAGTGTTTTAGCACACCACGTGACGCATCTGAACGAATCACGTTGTCAGAAATTGACACCAGCCAATGAGATTTCGTTTCTTGGTTTAAGACCCCTTTGTGCTTTCACGATTGGTTGCTGATACAAAGGAAATGACCATATTTGGATCCGATGAGATTGTGCAGGAGAGACACAGCTTTCCAGCGATACCTCTGATTGATTGATTGATTGAAAAGTTTATTAACAGCTTGTATATTGGGTACAGTACATACAATTGTTAAGGGGATGCAGACCAGAAAAAGACTTTCGTCTTGTTTACATCAGGGTCCCCCATTTCCAATTCATCATGTCATTTAAGACATGTCTGTTGACATGGTGCACACAGCGGTCGCGGTACTTTATGTTACGTTAGAATGCTAACTTTTGGTGAATTTAGGAGAAATCTACAGACGCAAATAGACAAACTATAGTAAAATAAACACTTAAATGTGTATTTTGTACGTTTTCCTTCAAAAAGCCTGAAAGAAAACATGTTATGGAATCAAAATAGCACAAAATCTCAAAATTGACCAGTTCTTGAAAAACGATGTTTTTGCCTGCCGTGTCTCACCTTAAAATCACTGATAATGTCATCGGATTAAAAAAAAAAAAAAAGACTGGCAGAGACTGGTCTGTTTTATCGGATGATAATTATTTAAAAATGAGTGTCATGAGCATACCATTCCTTTAAACTGTAGCTATTCTTGTTTATTAATAACAACTTTTTTGTTACTGTCATATAGTATTTTATACCTGTTTACTTTATTCTCTTGTTTTTTGATAACTATAATGATCATATAAAGATGTGCCTTTACCTCACTGGTTGTAGAAAAAGCTTCTTATATTCGTTAGCATAGCTAGCTAACCAGATGCTAATAACAACAAAGTTATTGACTGTATGATCAGAATGACAGATGAACAGATCGCCACTGGGCTTTCAACTAAAGACACAGCCCTTCAAAAACTGCGGCATGTGTATGTATGGAGTCAGATTTGGGTCAATATTCTAGCGCGTAAAACAAGCTACTCACGAGCGGAAAATGTGCTTTTACACGCGCATAAAATTACCCTCGCGAGCAGATTAAACCCCCGCGAGCGGCTCTGCGCCCACGAGCGAGCGCAGAGCCGCTCGCGGGAGAGACAGCCCTCTTGCTCGCTCGCGGGAGTATCAGCCTCGCGAAGTCTGTCTACGCGCGCGTGAAAAGTTTCTGGCACTTTGGGGCAGAGCCACTGGACTTTGATTGACAGCTGCCAGGAAACCCGGAGTTGCCCGGTTTGATAAATGCCTGAACTACCAAGAGCCGAGGAGTGACAGCTGCAAGATCAGTTGGACGAGATTGAATGGTAAAGTTGTCCATAAAAAAATATTATATTCGTAAAGTGTACAGCTAATATATATATATATATATATATATTAATTAATTAATTTTATATAAAACAATATATTTTTGAGTGGGCTGTATCTGTCGGAAATTGCATATATAAATTAATTTGATATAAAACAATATATTTTTGAGTGGGCTGTATCTGTCGAAAATTGCTAGCTACTGTCTGCTGTATACTCTTAGAAGGGATGTGTCAAAAATGACACATGTGTTGAATTTCAACACACCTACAGAGTGTGCTCAGGGACAACACGTGTATTTATGTGTAAATCATTTTTACACACAAAATGTGTTACATGCCCCTAACACACAATGTGCACATTTTACACATTGTGTCATAAATGTGTAACCAAGATGAACACACTCATTTGTTATTTCTGCACATTTTGTGTTATATTTCTTTAACCAGAATTAACATTTGATTGTGTTATATCTGCACATTGTGTGTCAATGACGATTACTGGAAGTACCAGGTGGTGGATATGGTTTTTATTCAAAAAATCGAATGCAAGAATACATTCATTGGACATTTATTTACAAGGATTTCATTAGCACAATATGTCATTAAGAAAATAATTGTTAACATTTAAAAATATTAATATTTTTCTAATTCATCAAATGTTGACAGAATAGATCATTCATAAAATCAGACCTAAAAAAACCTTATACCTTGGTTAAAACAAACTTAATCTTCAGCAAACTATTGTTGTAAATGACTTTCAGCTGAGGGAATATAGTGATGAGATTCTTCACAAGGACCACCTTTTCAGTGTTGGATGGATAATTAAGGATACAAATGAATGACAAGTGAGCTATTTATTTTTTATTTTTCAAAAAGAATACAACAGTTCTAGCATACAAATATTACAAATGCGTGATAATAAAGCAATTGGTTATAAAGAATGTCCTTTTGTATCAAGCAAATAAAAAAACGATTTTTACAACCAATTATATTTATATATATATATATATATATGCAATTTTCGACAGATACAGCCCACTCAAAATATATTGTTTTATATAAAATTAATTTAATTTATATATATATATATATATATATATATATATAAATTAATTAAATTAATTTTATAAATATAATTGGTTGTAAAAATCGTTTGTAAAAATATAAATATATATATATATAAGCTGTACACTTTACGAATATAATAGTTTTTTATGGACAACTTTACCATTCAATCTCGTCCAACTGATCTTGCAGCTGTCACTCCTCGGCTCTTGGTAGTTCAGGCATTTATCAAACCTGGCAACTCCGGGTTTCCTGGCAGCTGTCAATCAAAGTCCAGTGGCTCCGCCCCAAAGTGCCAGAAACTTTTCACGCACGCGTAGACAGACTCCGCGAGGCTGATACTCCCGCGAGCAAGAGCAAGAGGGCTGTCTCTCTCGCTCGCGAGCGCAGAGCCGCTCGCGGGCGCAGAGCCGCTCGCGGGGGTTTAATCTGCGCGCGAGGGTCATTTTATGCGCGTGTAAAAGCACATTTTCCGCTCGTGAGTAGCTTGTTTTACGCGCTAGAATATTGACCCAAATCTGACTCCATAGTACGGCTCCTTATGGATACTGCGATTTTTGAAGTCCCGGAGTGGCGTTCTGGTGCTCTCAGGTAGAACTGCCCCCCTGTCAGACGTTAGGCTCGTGTTGTGTTCAAGGACCATGACCGTTGCCAGGAAAAACAGGTACTCACTTGTTTAATTATTTTGCGGTCTAGATTTCTTTAATTTTTTTCTTTTTTGCGTGTGTTTATAAATTAGCTCGAGGGCCATACCAAATGGTCTCGCGGGCCGTATACGGCCCGGGGGCCGGAGGTTCCCCACCCCTGATGTAGGGCTTTCTTTAACAGGTTGAATCATTTAGTTTATTATTATTATTATTAGTTTCTTGGGAATCAGTCATTCTGAATAAAAATAAAAATAATTGTGTTCATTAAAGTAATTATACGACTAAGATCAAATGATTGAAACATGTTCTCTTAGCAGTAAGGAGACTCTTAACTACAAAAGCAGTGAGTAATAATTGCAATAATACCCCTAGCATCTGATTCCATATAATTTACAAAACAATAAAAACAGATACATAGCCCATAAATATGTGAGAAACTTAAAATCTTCTTCAATACTGAATAATTTGTTCATGATTAACAACATACCACTTTTATTATTGGGCCTAAAGCTGAAATGCATGGCAGCTGTAATAATGCAAACACAGATATGTGAAGAGACCAAACAGGGAATCCCTTCTGATCTTGTTTTATTTTTTTCTGTTCTTTATTTATTTTCGAAGGAATGCAATTACAATGTACAGCGAAGACACGGCACCAGGCAAAAGAAGCAGAGCAGAGGGGAGGAAGCTGCTGAGGAGGAGGGGGGAGCTTTGTACAGAGGTTTAAGGATCAGCCAGAGGTCGTCCAATGAGACGTCAGCACCAGGTGTCTCATCCACAGCCAAATGTCTCCGGTCATCACTTGTCAGACGTCCAAGGGCCCGCCTTTTCTGGACTCAGGAAGGACGGTTTTATCTCATCACTTGATCCAGGCAGGATTTGGATAATTTCGCACCTTATTGAGGAATAGTGAGAATGATTTAAGCTGGGAATGCTCCATGTTGTTGCAAAGCTCTCTTCTTTGTTTGGTAACTGGTGCCCCCTAGTGTACATCAAGCCCATTGCCATTAACTACTTTACATCTTCACAATCCATCAAACGGCATCAAATATACAGTACATGGCTGCATTTATTTTTTACCTTCCAGGTTGACATCCATGATTAATCATCACTTTAAAGGATTTTGAACCAAAATATGAATAACAACGGGAATTACACTACACGTGAAAGTTGACAGAAAGGTTTGGCGTCTGAAAGCCTAAGTCATATTTCAGTAATACCCTCATAAACCTTACATGACAGGGTTATACCATGGTTTTACTCAATTGAGTCATTTTGCTGCTGAATGTATTGATTTTTATATAAAATGTGACATTTGCAAGGAGACAGAGACCTTGTAGGTAATGTTAAATACACCATTATTAAAGGGAAACCTTGCCGTGTCAAGTTTATGCATTTGACTTTCTGGACTTGTAGCTTTTTCATACAAATATTTCAATATAAAATCAGAGTTTGTACAATTCACTGCTACCTTACATGGCATAGCCTACTACGTTCCTCTAACATTCATGTGACAAATCACACACAATTAAAAGTCCACAGATTCTGCTCCTACTGTATATTTACTTTTCTCAAAAGATTATTGGAAGGGCTCAGATGCATCCCAACATTTTTGTCTTTTCTTCAAGACAGAGAAAATGTGTTGTACAATAAATAACTCTGCAAAATATATCATTCACCACAACTCATGTAGGTCTCCTCATGTTTCTGCACAGGGAGATTAAATTAAAAGCTAATTGATATGTAAAATGAAGATATGTGTATCAGCACTAGTGGCTTAAATAAGGAGAAGACACTGTAGCCACTTAGCTGTCATTGAATCTTGGGATTAACAAAACTGAATGCATTGTGAAATGTCCCACTACTTCTGAATATTCTTAATTTCCTGTCAGAAGGCTTCATTTCCTTCTTTTAATAAGCTCCGATATAACTTCAGATTTGTTGCCCTTATTATCTTGGACATCATGATCCATTACTCTTATTAGTTAATATCTATAATACTCAATTACAATCCAATAATGCCAGAACATATCATGCAAATATGATCTGAAATACTAATTGTACTGACACAGCAGCCTGTTCTGTGACCTGAACAAGGGTGTGAGCCTATACTCTACGTACCGACTACACTAAATGGCCAAAGTGGTATTACATACAGACTTCTGAAAGCATATCTAAAGGCTGTGAAAGGAGAGGAACTGGGCTCGTACATTACATCTCCACCATGTAAATACATAAGAGTTCACTGTGTGTATCAACAGCTCCCACAAGGTCCATCCTGATGAAGCGAAGCATACTTCATGGCCAAATACATTTTACAGAAGTAAATTCTCAGGTGAGACCAATAGAGGAGCAGAAAATACTAGCTCAGGCTGGAATGATCAACAGAGGATCTGATTGGCTCTACATGATCCGATCTGCTCAGTGCATCCTCATCAATCAGTGTAACAGAGGGGGGACGGACGGACGGACCTGAACCCTGCTTCACTGGATGTTCCATCATTACTAAAGATAAATGTGATGGATTATTCTATGTGTAAGCACAAACAGTAGTTTTTTTTACAGCACACAGCAGTAATCTGATGAATTCTTCAGTACAGCAGCACAGACATGTAAAAGACATTCCTAGTTTTTTTTCTATTTTGTGGGTACCAACATGGCACATGGCCCTGGATTATTCCACAGTGTGAATGAATGATTCCCTTTGACCGTCGAGGAATACTTAAGCAAGTGGTTTTAATATACAGTAGCAGCCCTGAGAGCTTTGCAGGGAATTTAGTCGGATTGGGATCTCTTTAAATTGTTCCAGATGTTCGGATTTCCAGTGGCAAGTATATGTGTGTGTGTTTAGGCTCCATATTCGCCACTGGCAGAAGTCTATCAGAAGGGAGGTGGGGGGAGAATTTCAGGCCGGGCACTGCCACTTCCGGTCCACCGGGGGGCGCTCTCGTATCATAAAATCAGGACTGCAGGTAGAGAGAGAAGACAGCGTCAACCTTAAATCCCTTTATCTCAAAGGTTGATAGTGAGGGCCAAATCATATAAAATCAAGATGGTTTTCGTACCTCTGATGGGCCGTGACGATCCTCAGTGGACGATTCTGTTTCCCTGACAACCACTGCCTTAGTTATCTGCATGTCTGGATGCTGCTGCTTGGCTTCCTGTATTGCAATAGCCAGAGCCTGCAAGAAAAAGTGAAATATCAAATGTATCACAGAAAAAAATTAATTAAGTAATTTTTTTAATATATTTTTTAATACATTACTGTAATGTCAATTTTTTTTTGTTTTGACAAATTAATTTAACTATAGTCTACCAATTATTTGTTTTAAGATTTGTAAAAATTCCCAGATGCTCAATTATATAATTGATTTACTACAATTGATCTAATCTGAGGTACATTAATGTTTGCAAATACTATATGCATTATGAATAAGACGTTATCTATGAATGGTTGACATGGCCATTGTTTCACTTTAAGGATAAAAAGTACAGTCCTGCAAAGGTCCAACAACTACAAATGTCCCAAAAATACAACATCCAGCAACAGACGACATGGTTCTTTTGAATTGACCGTTTGCTCCACAGTTCATTTCAGCTCACCTGTTCCTGGTCTACATCATCGTCTCCTGTGATGATGATCCTCTTCTCAATCCTGGTCTCTGAGTATCCTCCTTTCACCGTCTGCAACACACAAGGGCTTTTCTTTTAATAGCCTTCAGAAGTAGAGCCCATATATGACTGTATTCAGACAGCAGAGATGAACCTCTTTTGATGTAAAACCCACTTTATCGTAATCATACATTAAATTGAGCACTTTGTAAGGTCTACTCTACTTGAGCTTCTCTACCTTGGAGACGTGAGTGGTTGCCGAGGTAACATTTTCCGTTATGAGGATAGGCGACCCTGATGCCTCTCTTCTAAGACTTCCCATATGCACCTGAGAAAGAAGAGATTAGTTTTCAGGACATGCATTTAGACACTTTTTGGACATTTGACAGCAAGTAGGTTTAAACCCAGGAGAGCAGTGTGCTTGCTTTAGGTCAAGTTAAAATGGGAAAGGTCCTTCTGTTCGTACTCACAGGGGATATGCTCTGTCTGGTGGAGTAGGAAACTTCACTCAGGCCGGTGATACCGTGACCCTGAAACAGAAAAATGTATTGTGTGACTTGTGGGAAGTAATACTTTAGATCAGGGGTGTACAAACTTTTTGCACTGAAGGCCACATACAGAAAAATATACGAAGGGCTGGGCCACTCACTAGGTGAGGTATATTGCCTCATAAGTTCAGTTGTAAATTGGAAAAATCTATCCAATCTAGGTCAATTGTTCTTGATACTTGAAAATGCTGTTAGAAAAAAAACTGCCTAAATTACAGCTCTCCATTTATTTTGTTAGCAGCTCATTCCTTAAAACAGAAGCTTCACATTGCTTATAATAGGAAATATGAAGGGTATATTTCAAGGTTATTATGTACATTTGTTATTGGGCTTTTTTCTTATCAACTTAGATTTGTTAGAACATGTTTTCAAATGTAATTGACTGAATTTATTTGAAAATTGGGCTAATCAACACATGAATACTGTGTAATATATTAGAATATATATATTAAAGAAGTACAATATAAGACAAGCAGAAGTTTATTGCCAGAAGGGTGGCAGTGAAAGCAGAGGGTCTCGACGGACCAGACCCGGGCGACAGAAGCTGGCTTTGGGGACGTGGAACGTCACCTCTCTGGGGGGGAAGGAGCCGGAGCTTGTGCGGGAGGTAGAGCATTACCAGTTGGATCTGGTTGGGCTCACCTCTACGCACAGCGTCGGCTCTGGAACCTTACTTCTGGATAGGGGTTGGACTCTATTCTTCTCCGGAGTTGCTCAAGGTGTGAGGCGCCGGGCGGGTGTGGGGATACTCACAAGTCCCCGGTTGGGTGCTTCGTTATTGGAGTTTACCCCAGTGGACGAGAGGGTCGCCTCCCTACGCCTGCGGGTTATGGGGGGTAAAACTCTGACTGTTGTATGTGCTTATGCATCAAACAACAGTTCGGTGTATACGGCCTTCTTGGAGACCCTGGAAAGAGTCCTGTATGGGGCTCCTGAAGGGGACTCTTTAATCTTGCTGGGACACTTCAACGCACATGTGGGCTGTGAAGTTGACAATTGAGCGGCCCGACCAAGCAAGGAGGCAGAGGCAGAACGTCCAAAATACAACCCGGTGTGGGCATTTATTAAGTCAGGAACACATGACACACAGCCTCAATCCTGCTGTTTCTCCCTGACCACAGCCTGCAGCCACAAGGATCTCACACACACTCTCTCCCAAACAGCAAAACCCCAGAGTCTAAATGCCCAACCCAATCAACCCAACAGGACACAGGTGAGGGGGGAGGAGACACCATAGAGCACCAGGTGCACACAATCAATGGCAACAGACATGGGGAAAGGGGAACACATTTCAAAAATAAAATACAATAAACACTACATCAATAAATAATATAAACTGTATAAACATGTGCACATATGCAAGGCCCGAAGCCATCAGTGACAAAGTTACCTTCGTCACTCGGGCAATGATGGAGACATTTGGAGGGGCGTGATTGGGAGGAACGGCCCCCCTGATCTGAACCAGAGTGGTGGTTTGTTACTGGACTTCTGTGCTAGTCATGGATTGGCCATAACAAACACCATGTTCGAACATAAGGAAGCTCATAAGTGTACGTGGTACCAGAGCACCCTAGGCAGAAGGTCCATGATCGATTTCGTTATCGTATCATCGGACCTGAGGCCATATGTTTTGGACACTCGGGTAAAGAGAGGGGCGGAGTTGTCAACTGATCACCATCTGGTGGTGTGTTGGGTCGAGTGGCGGGGGAAGCCTCTGGATAGACCTGGTAAGCCCAAACGTGTAGTTCGGGTGAACTGGGAACATCTGGAGGAAGCCCAAGTTCAGGAGGCCTTCAACTCACACCTCCGGCGGAGCTTTTCGGGCATTCCTGTGGAGGTTGGGGACATTGAACCAGAGTGGTCGGTGTTCAAAGCCTCTATTGCCGAAGCCGCGGCGGGGAGCTGTGGTCTCAAGGTCTTAGGTGCCTCAAGGGGCCGTAACCCTCGAACCTCCTGGTGGACACCGGTGGTCAGGGAAGCCGTCCGACTGAAGAAGGAGGCCTTCAGGGATTTGTTATCCCGGGGGACTCCCGAGGCAGTTACAAGGTACCGACAGGCCCGAAGGTCAGCAGCCTCAGCCGTGGCCGAGGCAAAGCAGCGTGTGTGGAGGAAGTTCGGAGAAGACATGGAAAAGGACTTTCGGGCGGCACCAAAGTTGTTCTGGAAAACTGTCCGACACCTCAGGAGGGGGAAGCAGGGGACCATCCAAGCTGTGTACAGTAAGGATGGGACGTTGTTGACCTCAACTGATGGAGTGTTAGTGCGTTGGAAGGAACACTTTGAGGAACTCCTGAACCCGACAACTCCGCCCTCTATGTTAGAGGCAGAGCTGGAGTATGACGGGGGATCAACACCAATCTCCCGGGGGGAGGTCACTGAGGTCATCAAACAACTCCACAGTGGCAAAGCCCCGGGGGTGGATGAGATCTGCCCAGAAATGCTGAAGGCTCTGGGTGTTGAGGGACTGTCATGGTTGACACGTCTCATCAACATTGCGTGGAAGTCGGAAACAGTACCGAAGGAGTGGCAGACCGGGGTGGTGGTTCCCCTTTTCAAAAAGGGGGATCAGAGGGTGTGTGCCAATTACAGAGGCATCATATTACTCAGCATCCCCGGGAAAGTTTAATCTAAGGTACTCGAAAGGAGGATCAGGCCGATTGTCGAACCTCAGATTGAGGAGGAACAATGCGGATTCCGTCCTGGTCGTGGAACGACGGATCAGCTTTTTACTCTCGCAAGGATCCTGGAGGGGGATGGGAGTACGCTTATCCGGTCTACATGTGTTTTGTAGACTTGGAGAAGGCGTATGACCGAGTTCACAGGGAGTTACTGTGGGAGATGCTGCGGGAGTATGGGGTGAGGGGGTCTCTACTCAGGGCCATCCAATCTCTGTACTCCCAAAGCGAGAGCTGTGTCCGGGTCCTCTGCAGTAAGTTGGACCCATTTCTGGTGAGGGTTGGCCTCCGCCAGGGCTGCGCTTTGTCACCAATCCTGTTTGTAATATACATGGGTCGGATTTCGAGGCGTAGTCGTGGGGGAGGGGGTCTGTAGTTCGGTGGACTAAGGATTGCACCACTGCTTTTTGCAGATGATGTGGTTCTAATGGCTTCATCGGTCTGCGACCTTCAGCACTCACTGGATCGGTTCGCAACCGAGTGTGAAGCGGCTGGGATGAGGATCAGCACCTCCAAATCTGAGGCCATGGTTCTCAGCAGGAAACCGATGGACTGTCCACTCCAAGTAGGGAATGAGTCCTTACCCCAAGTGAAGGAGTTCAAGTATCTCAGGGTCTTGTTCTCGAGTGAGGGAACATTGGAGCGTGAGATGGGCCGGAGAATCGGAGCAGCGGGAGCGGTACTGCAGTCGCTTTACCGCACCGTTGTGACGAAAAGGGAGCTGAGCCAGAAGTCAAAGCTCTCTGTCTACCGGGCCATTTTCGTTCCTACCCTCACCTATGGTCATGAATGATTGGTCATGACCGAAAGAACGAGATCGCGGATACAAGTAGCCGAGATGGGTTTTCTCTGCAGGGTGGCTGGTGTCTCCCTTAGGGATAAGGTGAGAAGTTCGGTCATCCGGGAGGGACTCGGAGTTGAACCACTCCTCCTTCGCGTCGAAAGGAGCCAGTTGAGGTGGTTCGGGCACCTAGTTAGGATGCCACCTGGGCGCCTCCCTAGGGAGGTGTTCCAGGCACGTCCAGTTTGGGAAGAGACCAAGGGGTAGACCTAGGACCAGGTGGAGGGATTATATTTCTTCGCTGGCCTGGGAGCACCTTGGGATCCCCCAGTCAGAGCTGGTTGATGTGGCCAGGGAAAGGAAAGTTTGGGGCTCTCTGCTGGAACTGCTACCCCCGCGACCCGACCACGGATAAGCGGGAGAAGATGGATGGATGGATGGATGGATGGAACTTAGATTTGTTAGAACATGTTTTCAACTTTAATTGACTGAATTTATTTGAAAATTGGGCTAATCAACACATGAATACTGTGTAATATATTAGAATATATATATTAAAGAAGTACAATATAAGACAAGCAGAAGTTTATTATACTTAAGTCATTGTACTTTTTGAATTAGCTGATGGCCGATTCAAAATGGCCAGGCCGTAGTTTGGACACCCCTGCTCTAGTCCAACATATACATTTTATCTTTAACATTTCTCAGTGAAACATTGAACTAACCTGATCTGTAAACTCCACGATGGTTGTGGTGACCTCTGAGCCGTTGGGCTGGGTCTCCGTCCTGACGTCCGTCTTCCTCACTGTGGGGGTGGGCATGAGGTCACTGGCCTCCCTGCTCAGTGGTGTGACGGCAGAATGGCGACCGGCTTCTCTCTGCGACTCTCTGTCCACTGACGATGACACCGGCACGGACCTCTTTGGTTTTTTGGGTACAACAGGCTTACAGAGGAAAAAGAAACACATTGTAGTTTTTAACACATAGCAGATGAGCTTGAAATTCTGTTGTGTTTTTCTTAGGTTTTGTGTGAGCTTCAAAAAGACTTAAATTATGTTTTTTCAGTTCCAAATTACAAGATTATTATTGAAGCTTTTAAAGCATAAAGTAAATCCAAAGAAAAACAAGCAAAAGACAAACACAAGGGAGTGTTAATATAACTCAGATGGAAGATTTGTTTTTAGCTCAGTGCTTAAAAGATGTGTTTTAAAATAGATAAGAAAAACAATGAAAACCACAGAAGAAGAGATGAAGGATATGTCCTCATTACCCTTCCGTGCTGCTTCATAAAGAGAATTACAGTAAACTTGAAACACATTTCATAACAGTCACTTTGCCTGCTCTACTTTTCTGTCAGAATATCAGAATCATATCTCAGAATCAGAATAAATATTGAAAGAACATTTTGTGATGTTTACTTTTTATATTGCACAGCCTTTTGACTATTAAAATCATAAAAAAAAGAAATAACAACAAAGAAAAGACACAAAACTGTGTGAAATGTGTAAAAAACACACATTTAACACATTACTTTGTTGTTTTTTATTAGTTAGAAATGTTGCCACTGTTCTATTTTTGTTTGTTATATCGACATTCACATTAGCCCACCACAAGGCTTGTAAACAAAACTTGAATGAACTCATCGACACCTCACTTTGGTGGTCTATCATCACACTTGGTTGGAAACTAGGGAGGCACTAAGATGGGATACGGTTGAGTTCGATCCTACTTGCTGTTGTTTTGGCAAAGCAATAGCACACACTATTTGTATTTATCATGTGCATCTCATTTAACACATGGAGATAGAAATAAAACACGTTGGTGATTTCTTGAAAAAAATATCTCTTTCAAGTTCACATCCATGCTCACCTGCCCTGCTGTTTGTATAAAAGAGGACACGTATTTTTAGGTGCCTAAAAATAGAATAGTTTTACCCTACCTGCATGAAAAATCTAAATAGAGGAGAAGCTACAAACACAAATGTTGCTGTACCTGCATATCAGACCGTTTGACCTCTGGCCGCACTTCTTCTGCCTGGATATGTTTGGTCGGAGGGGCTGACACCAGTGGGGGGGGTGGTTCAAAGGCGGCCTGCTGCTGGAGCATGTCCATGCTAAAGCAGAGACCTACGTCAGGTGACTCTACCCTGTCCCCCAGCTCCGTCATGCCCTTGGAGAACTCCTCCATGCCAGTGTGCAGGTCAGTGAGGACAGTGAAGTCCACCTCAGCCTCCAGGCTGGACGTGGAGCTGACCGTGATGCTGGAATACTTCCTCTCGATGCCCAGGTGGGTCTCCTTCAGGTACAGGATGTCGGGGTCCTGGTCGTCCTCGGAGACGGAGCCTAGACGTCTTTCCCACGGTTCCCTCTACAGAGAAGAGTGCAGTACATGAGACTACATCAACTCCAAATATAATGACTTATATAATCAAAGGCTGTGAACCACTGTAGCTCACATTCTTTGATTATATATGTTATTATTATATAAGAAGATCTGAAGGAAACAACAACAATTTTCAGTATTTCTACTGAATCTTTTCCATTACCTATATTGTATACAATACATTTTCACGGGATGGGAACCCTTTAATAATAAGATTCAGTTATTGTGTTACAGTTCTTTACATTTTGGTGGTGGGGTCTTACCAGTTGTTTAGATATGAATTCACAGCCTGTTCCTTGATGGGAACCATATCCAAAACCATTTTTATGTAAGCACAAATGAATGAAAATCTTGAAGAAAGACGTGTGAAATAATGAAGTGCTGTTTGTTTTCCAAAGGAGTGGCTAAAAAGGAGGAAAACCCAACTGGTGGAGACGACTTACTGAAGCTTCATTGAAAGGTTCCTCATGAATAGCAGGTGTGGGAGGTGTATCCTACGAAAGAAAAACAAACGATAAGAAAACGTTAATATAAAACTAAATATAGCAGGTGACAAGAACCAACCTAAACTATAGCCAACATGTATCATTTGCATCAGAAAAGGAAAGAGCTGAAACAGGAAGACAGGAAAGCTTTTCTTTGTCTCTGCATTGACATGACGTTCATAAACCACAACTGATTAAAGCTTTTTGTCACATCTATAGAAACCATGCTGTGTGATCTCACAGCTTTTAAACTGATTGCTTTTGCACTTGGCGGAGGCCTCTGCATTTTCATTTATAAAATGTCAATACTTAATTCATCTACCAACATCATGGCATACCATGAATTTAAATTAAAAGTTTAGGATTGCAATTTTTAAATGTTTGCATATCCTTCACTAGAAAGTCATATTGGACATAATTTATTGTAATGTGTATTGTGCCTTCATACATTTTACAATTATGAAGTCTTTATAAATGTTCTTGACTTTTTCAGTACTTGTGGTTGGTGATAATATACTCTGAATCTAATTTGCTTCCATCACTTAACCTTAATCAGCGTATAATTATGATGACAGGCCTTTAATTACTTAGCAAAAAATGTATGGAACGTACGGTAACTTTAACGTGAGCTCGGTACATTCTCGCAACAGAGGGTTCCCCCCGAGGATTGCTCAAGTATGACCCGCCCTCCTCTACCTCTGATTGGCTGAGCGCGAAAGGTCAGAGTCTAGGCTGCGTTCAATTAAAGTAAATTGTTTGACAAGATTTGATTGAGACAGAATCTGTCATATCACTATGATTTTAAATTAAATATAGATTTAAGAGAGGTATGGCCTTTATCCTTAATTGAAAACCTACCTGTCCGTCAGCAACGAGTTTATTTAACATGCCGACAAATGAAATGTTAAACTTAAAATAAAGACGGGGACACGTTACAGCAGGGTGACGAAAACAAGCACCCAACAACACTGTTTCTGAAAAGTGAGGAATGGACCTCTCCTGACCATAATACACAACTTGGATTCGGTACATATTTAAAGAAAAACTATTTGGTTGATTATAAATATGGAGGAATGGATCCATGTCCAGACTGAAAGACCGCTCTGAAGGTAGGGATTTGCCACGTTTTGTTTGTATCGCTCTTGTTTACCATGCCGGTAAATCCGAATGAACTATACCCTAGTGCTCATGTTTATCGTAAAATGGACTGAACGGTTAAATTGTTGGAATCTAACCGATCTATCAATAAGTAGCTTGTCCATATTGACCAAATGTAAAGCATTTATTAATGCACATTTATTTTGTAATCAGTTTTAAACTCCTTAAAAGGTGGGGTAGGCAATTCACTTCAGAAATCTTCGTTTTATATTCCATGGAATGCTCTTAACATCCCGATAGCAATGGATCAATGAAATGCTTTGGCAATATATACAAATATTTATATTTGTACGGGCCCCATTTGGCAATCCAATTATCTGCCCCAGGCCTACCTGCCCGTCAGCCTTCCATCTCGTGGACAAATGTATCTCGTGCCCTCATTGGTCACGCGCGTTTTTGTGTGTTGGAGGAGGGGCTCTGTAAGGAAGTCTGAACGAAGGGGCAGATTTTTTTCGGTTGTGTCCGTCTATGGTTGTGTACTTTCAAATTCTAGCTTACTCGAGCTGGTTTCTCCATTCTTACCTACCCTACCTTTAACTCATGGAATTACGTTTTAAAAAAGGCCCACATCCAAATAATTACATTAAAATAAACTATAATATTTAACGTCATTTCAAGACCTGCCTTTATTTATTAAAATGGTCACCATACCCAACGAGTTAAAGGGGCTGGGTGTTACATTGAAGTTTTATGGGTAGGTAAACTACACAATAAACACATAGCCTACTGTAAAGCTTACACCTACTGTCAGAAGCATGCACATAGGGTATATTTCGAAGGTTGACATAATCAGAAATGACTGCAAGTGCAATGTTAATGCCATGCACTGAAATGTTAGATTTTTCAAACTCCCTTTCAGGAAAGAGGTATTCATATGCATAAATGCAGTATATGAATACTTAAGCCCTGAAGAGGTTTGGCAGCTCTGCAGCCTGTGATTACATCTAATCGCCTTTTTCATTTTCTGCTGTAACCACAGAGGTGCCAAGGCAGAACATTTGATTCAAATGCCCTTCTCAGTCATTTACAAAATGGTGAAACGGTCTTGCACTCCTTGCAACAGCAGCCACCTTTTATTCTGTGAGGTTGTTGGAAGGAGAGACCAAGTGTGAAGTCAAGGTGGGATTGAAGGGACGCCTGAAGCTTAAGCATAGGGGTGTTTGCTTAGAGGCCCGCAGCGTTCTGAAATGGCCAAGCAGATGTCAAACTTTGCGAAGGGGAGGACAAGGGAAAGCAAAAAGCTCTGTGGACCATGGACGTAAAAACTAAGTCTGTCAATGATGCTAAGCCAAGGGACGTGAACTTTTGCTTTCTCATACACAGCCACATGAGTTCTGAAGTATGTGTGATTGATTGTTTTTAGATGGTAAAAACAAGATCTGCACGACTGAAGCTCATGCAATGCTTTACTTTCCGATGATTGACAAGTATGTTAAGGGTCGGATGGTTTTTACCGCTTGCTTCCATTTGAATGTGTCTTGGCTTGGCATCCTGAAGTGGATGTGGCTGCTGTCCATGTTGCTATGTCTGTCCCGGGACCACTGGGATTTCAGAGGCAGCGTTAGAGGAGGTGCAGTTGGAAACTTGGAGCTAAAGAGAAGATTCTCTTTAAACTCCAAGTTGTTTTGAAAATGATCTTCATGTCCTCTTGTATACACACTTTGTCCCGTTGTGCGTCTGCAGTCTCTAAGCTCCTGTTGCCCAAACAACTCATTCTTTATCTGTGGGAGTGGTAGACTTTGCTGTTGAAATGACATTTCAGCCTCGCAGTGATGCTTGGTGGCTCCTGTGTTTTCCATGATAACATTTGCTGCAGACTGCAATTCAGAATTGTCATCTACTCTCCTTCCTGCATCAAAAGATTCATCTTTTGATTTTGTCATCTGTACATCCCCAGTCCCACCAAAGACACCTCTGTCAGACCAACTCTGAGATGCAATGTTTTCCTTATTCTTCTTGGATCTCTGTGGCTTTAGAGGAACTACTTTGGTGACTTCTGAGTTTGAGTTTCTTCCTATGTTGCATTCTTGAGCTCCCACAGGGCTTGAGTCTTTTATTTTCCAGGTCTCCCAATGCCTCGCGTCACTCTCAATTCTGCCGCCGTTGCCTTTTGGGAGAGAATCCACAGCCAATACGGTTTCAACGTTGTTTGTTCCCTCTCCATGAGTGTTGCACTCATACTGACAATGCCTAATATCTCTGTTGCTCATTGCACTCCCCTGTTTGTCATGTGGAGATCCATATCCATTTTCTTGAATGGTGTTGCTTGCTAATAAAGAATCTTGATGCCCGTTAGTTGCTACTGTACCATCCACTGGGCTCAAATACGTTATTCCTGTTGCTCGAAAGTCTGTTTCCTGTTTTGGAGATGTCCCAGGTCTAGTTTTTAAAGAGTCATTGGCTGTTTGACAGTTGCTCAACTTTGTGTCAGTCCAAGGTGTCAAAGCAAAGATGTTTTTACTCTCAGAGCAAGTATCCAGCTCTCCTTCATAAGCATCCTGCTTGTCAATCAATTTGGCATCAGCGGTCGCCTATGTTGACATAGAGTAGATGGTTACTTTAGCTTAGCTCTTCTAGTATTTGTTATCCTATCCTTACTCTTAACGATTTAAGTCATTCACTTTTCAGATTTGTCTGTGTTTTGGCTCAATGAAATACATTTTTTTAAAGAGTTGAAGAAAAGACTGCATGGAAAGAAATATATATGATTCTAACTGTTGTAGTACAGTGAGTATTGTAACTTGGGAACAGGAGGTCATTCTTACTGCTTTGCGCTCAGGGGTTCCTCCAGGAGGAGTAGCTGAGGAGAGACGTTTCTCCCTCTGGGCCATCTTGCTGTTAGGCTGCTTCAAAGCCCTCTTCAGCTCATTGATGCTGGCCTGGTGCTTCTGTAGAACATCTTCTGGCTTATCCAAGAACTGCTGCTTACACACCAGGGACACAAAAAAAACAAATGTTACTATCCTGGATCTGAATCTATTTGGTTCTGGTAACAATCATCTCTACATTTCTCTTTTCTTTTTCAAAATTCTCACTCTTACTCTGTTCTGATGAGGGTTCGGTGCATGCATGCCTGTTTTTTGTTGCAATACTGGGCTGTAGAAGGAATTAAATGCTGCCACCAACACACATCATTGAACAATAAAGGTATTGATAATTACCTTAAACAGATATAGACCTTGGTACACTCAAAATGAGTATCATCTGCATTTGTATTTTACCTTGGCAATGTGAGCAAACATATATTGTGTTAGAGGTCTACACAGGTTTAAACAATCTGAACATTTTTATTTAAAATATCTTACAATGTATTTGTGTTACTGTTGATGCATGTAGTATAGCAATTTTGGATGGAGATGGAGCACATTGATTTTTAAACTAACAAGCTGTGTTTTAATAGAAACTCCAGTGTTGTGGCTGTTTGCTGAGTTCTAGCAGTGAGTGAGAGGCACAGGTATACATAAGAAAACACAGAACACCTGGTGATAGCCACACACAGCACATGCCAAAAGAGACAAGCAGTACCTCCTGTTTGGGCCGAGGGGTGGCCAGATCCTTTTCCAACAGAGGGGGGAGCCCAAGGTGTGACAAGTGAGATGAAGTGATGGGTTTTGAGCAAAGCGGGAGGTTGAGGATTGGGGTTCGGGGTGGAGAACAGATGCGTGCAGAGACAAAGAGGTAGAGTGCTGCAGGTGAGTCAAAGAGGCAGGCAGCCAGACGGACAGACAAACAGTTAACACCATCAGGGCTTTCGACTTAAAGACTTTCAAGCCATTTAATGCTCTGCCAAGAAGACAGGGACAATCCATTTCAGTGTCAGCCAATTGATAATTCATGCAGTCATCTATTGACTGAGCATAAGTGTTTGGAGAGGGGGATTATTCCCATACTTCTTCATCCAAAGACTTGGTGAAAAGGCATCACACAACCACAAATGATCGGACTAGATACACTGGAATAACCTTTACCATAAGGAACACCACAATGTATTCTTGCACCTTCGTAACCAATAAGAATGTACTTCTAAAAAGGACAATTCATATACAAATAACTAAATGTGAATTGAATAGTGAGACTTTTACCCATCTCAGTTGAGTATCAGGAGATTTGCCAACTAAGGAAACACTGATTCACTGAATCATCAACAGTGCTTTAGGGCCATCTGTTTATACTGCTAATATGATCTAATTTCACACAGGGACACAATTAAACATGTGTTGACAATTGTGAAAGATGCTTTTTTCACTGTTCAATCTAGATAAGAGCTACATTTCAATGAAAACAATCCTGTAAGAATTTTCCATAGGGCAGATAAGAAAAAAGGAAAGAAAGAGCCTGAATGATTCATATTAAAACAGTTTGCGAAGATCAATTCATGCCGTTTCCATGGATTATGCCCGATGGAATCCTGGAAGTTATGACATGAAAATAAATAACATTCCCTTCAGAGACAAACAATCAAAAAAAGAATAGATTGTGTTTTAAAAAAACGTATGTATGACCTACAGAAACCAAAAACCACAGACAGACGCTAAGGGCCAAGGCCAAAATACCTCAGGTTTTGAGTCTAGAGACGTGCCTTCCGCCTCACCCTGCAGGAGAGTATGAGGTGGACCACAGAGAGGTCAGAGAGAAGAGAGCAGAAGTAAGCAGAGTGTGTGTTAACAACACAGCAGGGGGAAGAGAAGAACTGTTAGAGGCATGAAGCTGGGTTAAAGAAATATCATCGGCAGCAAACAGGTCAAGTTAGTCTTCGGGAGGCGATTGAAGAAATGGAGAGGAAAGAGGATTCATTATGAGATTTATAAGTCTGCAGAGGAGGAGGAAATAGAGGAAATTAGGCCAAGTAGAGAAAAAGTCAGGATGGTGATTACAGTCTTATATGAAAAGGAATGTGAGAGAAGGATGAGGAGTGCTAGTCAAAAGTTCATGAGGGATTTTGTTCGGGCGTAGATGTATAATTTTCGAGCTAAGGAAACTGCCTTGAGATGTTTTGTCGCACTTTTTCTTAAATTATGAGGAAATAATTGATTTATCTGGTGTTTCATTCACTAGTTGAATGTAATTTATTCATACCGTGTGCATTAAAATGTACAAATTGTGGCCTTGTTGAACAGCTATACATTAAGGCAGGTCCATGTTTGTACCTTGAGCTCGATGGTCCTAGTGGAAGTTGATATGCGTGCACCGTAGGTATGTTTCTGATCTTGATCCTGGTCATCATGCTGCTCTAGCTCCTGATCTGTGAACTGGTCCTGGTCTTGGTCCTGATAATGGTACTGATCTTGGTCCAGGTCCAGGCTGCCCTCCTGGTCCAGGTCTTCTCTGGACATGAACTGTGTGCGTTCACTGGAGCTCCGCTGGGACAGCTGTTCCATACTGTAACCGAGAGCTGAGGCTGGGGAGGTGCAATGGAAGGGATAGGTGAACCAACCACAACTCCAGTGATAAAGCTTTTACATGATATGCAGTACAGTGTTTATTAAGGCCACATATATCAAGAGGCTGTGCTCTAACATGAAATCACAGGATAAAAGCTGCTTTTATTGCAGTTTTTGCCAAGGAGTTTCGGTCTCTGTCAACAGGGGACTAAAAAATGTGTTTCTTCAGTCTGAAAGCCATAACACAAAATCAATATGCACTGTTGATGGAATAGCTAAGTATGCTTTCACGCATACAATGTTATCAATCCATTTTTAAACCTGAGGGGCTGGAGACAATTTATAGGCTCACATGTTAATCCAGAAGATAAGTGAACCTCAGAGTGGACAGAGAAATAGTCTGGGTTCTTACCTCCATCAATACTTCGGGCCAGCAAGTACCTCTTGCTAACGGACCGATCGAACTGTGGGGCCGGCCTGTCGATCAGAGCGCTCGCCTGTCTGGTCTGGGCTTGGGTTCGCCCGCTGTAGCGGAACTTTGAGCCAATCACCAGGAAGCCCTTGGGAGGGGGCTCTGGGGAAACCAACCTGCAGAAAGGTTCAGCTTGTGTAAATCTACCTCAAATACTACCTTGTTGTTGACAATGTTTACTTAATTACAAAGTTAAATCTCTTATGAGGCACATACAGCAGTGTGGAACAGTAACTGATAAAATAGCTTGAGGGGCAAGCAAGATACACATTATATATATATATATATAATTAATTACAATATAACATCTGTGTATATTTCTTGCTTTTCCCAATGAGTTGTTTTGTCTCCTTGAACCAATTATTTTGCATCTGTTTTAAACAACTGAATCGTAAAACAGCACGACCAGCTTCTATAACAAAACAAAACAAACCACAAATAAATCACTAGCTCCTTGTGGAACAAATGGTTTTACCGTAAAAAGATAACAACACCTTTTTATATATTGAGTGTCACTTGATAGAATCCCGAAAGATATAGCAATTGTGCAGAATGTGAACAGATCATGCAAGGAGTGAAGTGCAGAAAAAGTGTGTCTCTGTGCATCTGTGAGTATCCTACCTGAAAAAGGTGTGGTGCTCAATGCAGACCTTCCACAATCGCTTTGAGGCCCGATGGTTGGGCAGCTTGAAGCCTATGGTGCTCTCAAACTGTTCATACTGAGGAGTGAGGGGGAGGAGTGGGGGTGGAGGACAAGAAGGAGGGAGGGAGGGAGGTGTGGAAGGAAATAGAGGGAGGGAGGGAGGTGTGGAAGGAAATAGAGGGAGGGAGGGAGGTGTGGAAGGAAATGGAGTGAAGGAAGTGAGTGTAGGGAAATATGGTTGGATGGTGGCAGGTTGAATTGTGTTGACTTTGCAGCAATGAGCAAATCAATGCTTGTAACTCGTAATATATTTTCCCAATGCCATGTCAGGTAGACTTTCTATCTCTAACCAACCTACAAATTAGCCATTCATGCCAACCCATCAGATAATCAGTTGTGTGAGAAGAAGAAGATGCTTTCAAATCAATAGTTTTGTTTGCAATATACCAGGGCTTCAAACATAAACACTAGTTCCTTCACAAGAGGAAGCCAAATCGTGTCTTATACAGTACAAATACAAATATGTGGGGAGAGTTTCAAATCAAAGGATTTTAATTTACAATGACGACCCTCCAGGCAATTAGAAGTGTCAGCCGACTTAAGAGGATAGATGTGCAGAACAAAGTGTATGCACTGAATGGCTTGATGTTTACTATGAAGATGTCAATGTAAGTTAAACAGTGGATGTACAACACCTTCAAGGCAAAATAATGACAGATAAGAATGAATCATAATTTTAGGTAGTTGAAAACCATAGTGTGGTTCCAACATTTGCATGTGAATCCTCAAGAGTGCAAACCCTCATGACTGACCTATCAGCCTTATCTTAACAAAACGTCAGTTGTCAACTTGTTTGCTGCAGATAAATCTCTGATGTAACACTTTTATCAAACCATGAAATTATTATTTATGCTCCTCGGGACGAGTCAAGACAGACAATGTAATTTTGAAAACTGTGAAACCATGAAATAGACATTTTGAGTTGGCTCTTAACCAAATGATGCGTTGTTCCACTTTCCTCTGCTATGCCAAAGTGACTTTCATGAGGTATTCTTGTGGGAATGCGCAGACAATAATTGCAAAGTGAACTCTCAAGATAACCAATGTGCAAAATACAAGATAATGAGTTTTTATTTACCTCTCCTGGGCGGATCTTAATATAGAAGTTGCTTCTCTTATATGAGATCTTGAGAATCTTTGGCCAGGCGAATCGGTTAATCCTTAGGCGGTCCCGATAGATGAGCAGACCGTTGGCGCTCACTCCCAGCATTATGTCAATTCCTTCTGAATCCTGGTGATCACACAGCATTGAATATTAGTAAACCTCCGACAACGTGAATGAAACAGTCTCAGTGAAACAAAGTGTCCCTGTACCTTAGCATGATGCAGATCCACCCCGTACATTGAGAGCTTCTTGCCATTTTCTAGAAAGTTCACCTCTGCCTCTGCAGGACTCATTCCCCTACGAGTCAAAGTGCCACACATGATTAATTGTTTCTTTCATATTAATCTGACAAAGGAATAGCTTTTGTCAATATTGACTCGCATTCAATTTAATTAACCGTCATATTTTATCAGACCTGTAGTTACGATGCAGCTCCATCACTCTCTCCTCCAGCTCCCGTGTCTGGTTGGGTGCAAAGCGGAACTCGTTGACGTAGTCGGGGCCGTGTTCGTCGGCCTCGTAGTCTCCCAGTTCAGCCTGGACAGTGTAGGAGCCCAGAAGGGCGTGGGTGACGAACGAGCAGGGCAGGCGACCGGACAGGATGTCGTCCCTCAGCTGCAGGCACAGGTAGTACCTGAAGAAACACAGGAGGAGGACGAAACACTGCTGACACATGTTTAAGAGACAAGTGTGTTTATTATCAGGAAACATCAACATCCACTGCTGGACTCTGTAGTCTCAGTCCATTTGATGATGACCTAAGTTTACAGCAATGCTAATGGAGTGGTGCAGGGATGACGTATTTACCCGGAAGTAAGCTGCGCATGGGTTCCCTCGACAAAAAAGCAATGGGATTTCTCCATAGGATTTTGGAAAATAGCTCGAAATAAGGTGTGTGGAAAGCGAACCTGTTAGATAAATGCACGTTTTGTCCAGCCAGATAATATCCACATGTCTACCCTACTTTTATCATTTTCGAATCATAAATCTAATCTCCAGAAGCAAAATGCTAACGTTATGCTATAAACAAACTACAGCCGAGTACAGCAGGGTCGCACGACTTCAACGTCAACCATCATTCAGACACGTAAACTCTTCAAAAATCACCAGTGAGGTCACTGCTGATGTATTTAATGTCGTAGAACAAAACGTGATCCGTCTCTTAAACTTGTGTCAACCACAGACCTTGTTTCGAGCTATTTTCCAAAAATCCTATGGAGAAATCCCATTGACTCTGAGACAAGGGAGTCATTCCCTTGTCTCACTTCCGGGTTTTAGGACTTGTCACTGCACCACTCTATGGTTTGGCCTTTAGAGAAAGCAATGTCTGGCAATCTGTCTGTTAGCCTAAACACTACATGTTCCAGACCCAAATATCTCAACAACAAGATCTTATTCCTAGGAAATTGTTTTGAGAACTTGCTGAAAAACTCAACAGCAACACCTCGAACACCCAATTTCAAAGGTATTTGAGATAACCCACATACCACACTGTCTAGAGTTGATTTTATAGTCAGCATAACATCCTAAAGTCCTAATGAAGTCACCACACAATAATAGTGTCAACGGTTTACCATTATCTGTGTTGACCATCAAGAATAACTCAAATACTGTTTTGGCTTTTTGTAAAACAATTTGAGCACCACAAACCACAAATTGGAGAGGCATAGTTTCAGAACTGTCTCAAAAACAGTGGCATATAAAATGTAAAGCATCTGATGGTTCCATTAGAGCAGGGGTGTCAAACTCAAGACCCGGGGGCCAAAACCGGCCCGCGACTTCATTTTATGTGGCCCGCAAGTGCTCTGAAAGAATAAAATAAGTTTGTTATACAGTTACATGCCGCTTTACAGAAGCATGTTGCCTATAAACTGCATGTCCCACAATGCATCTCATGTTGTGACATGCACACTGAAGAGAATTGCAATTATTTGCCCTAGACTTCTGCTTTCAGACGTAGTTAATTATGAAGCTATCCTAATAATCCAATGCAGAGGCAATAATGTAAAATAATAATACATTATTTTATATATATATTATATATATGTATATTTATAGTCTTAAAGTTACAACCAGCCCTTTGAGTGCAACCATAATGCTGATGTGGCCCGCCATGAAATGTAGTTTGACACCCCTGCATTAGAGGTAATGAAGAAAAGGTATTTTTTTAGGATTTAGTTAAACCGACCATTTAAATATTTCTTATGCCTACGTTTTGACGTTAATGCACATACTTTTGGTGTTGTGCTTTGCTCTGGTCATGATTATGATACTTAGAAAGCCTAACATCGTTGCATAATCTTCCATAATATATATATATATACAGTGGGGCAAAAAAGTATTTAGTCAGCCACCAATTGTGCAAGTTCTCCCACTTAAAAAGATGAGAGAGGCCTGTAATTGTCATCCTAGGTACACTTCAACTATGAGAGACAGAATGGGGGGAAAGAATCCAGGAAATCACATTGTAGGATTTTTAATGAATTAATTGGTAAATTCCTCGGTAAAATAAGTATTTGGTCACCTACAAACAAACAAGATTTCTGGCTCTCACAGACCTGTAACTTCCTCTTTAAGAGCCTCCTCTGTCCTCCACTCGTTAACTGTATTAATGGCACCTGTTTGAACTCGTTATCAGTATAAAAGACACCTGTCCACAACCTCAAACAGTCACACTCCAAACTCCACTATGGCCAAGACCAAAGAGCTGTCAAAGGACACCAGAAAACAAAATTGTAGACCTGCACCAGGCTGGGAAGACTGAATCTGCAATAGGTAAGCAGCTTGGTGTGAAGAAATCAACTGTGGGAGCATACAAGACCACTGATCATCTCCCTCGATCTGGGGCTCCACGCAAGATCTCACCCCGTGGGGTCAAAATGATCCCAGAACCACACGGGGGGACCTAGTCAATGACCTGCAGAGAGCTGGGACCAAAGTAACAAAGGCTACCATCAGTAACACACTACGCCGCCAGGGACTCAAATCCTGCAGTGCCAGACGTGTCCCCCTGCTTAAGCCAGTACATGTCCAGGCCCGTCTGAAATTTGCTAGAGAGCATTTAGATGATCCAGAAGAGGATTGGGAGAATGTCATATGGTCAGATGAAACCAAAATAGAACTTTTTGGTAAAAACTCAACTAGACGTGTTTGGAGGAGAAAGAATGCTGAGTTGCATCCAAAGAACACCATACCTACTGTGAAACATGGGGGTGGAAACATCATGCTTTGGGGCTGTTTTTCTGCAAAGGGACCAGGACGACTGATCCGTGTAAAGGAAAGAATGAATGGGGCCATGTATCGTGAGATTTTGAGTGACAACCTCCTTCCATCAGCAAGGGCATTGAAGATGAAACGTGGCTGGGTCTTTCAGCATGACAATGATCCCAAACACACCGTCCGGGCAACGAAGGAGTGGCTTCGTAAGAAGCATTTCAAGGTCCTGGAGTGGCCTAGCCAGTCTCCAGATCTCAACCCCATAGAAAATATTTGGAGGGAGTTGAAAGTCCGTATAGGGTATATAACAAAGTATTGAGATGAACTTTTGTTATTGACCAAATACTTATTTTCCACCATAATTTGCAAATAAATTCTTTACAAATCAGACAATGTGATTTTCTGGATTTTTTTTTTTCTCATTTTGTCTCTCATAGTTGAGGTATAACTAGGATGAGAATTACAGGCCTCTCTCATATTTTTAAGTGGAAGAACTTGCACAATTGGTGGCTGACTAAATACTTTTTTGCCCCACTGTATATGTCCACTTAGAGTATTTAAGGCGAGACACCCCAGGTGAATAGGGTAATTTTTTTAACTTAAAAGGTATCAGCTAGACATTTCTCCAGTTAATTACTTACAATAAGGCAATTGTCTTAACATCCCTAAAATATCCATTTTCGCCATGTTTTTAGGTATACAATGTTGTATAATTCAGGCTATGAATTATATATGAACAAACCCTTCTGTAAAAGCCTTCATAATATTGATGGGAATATAACTGGAAGGTTTGGTGTATGTACGTGCTACTGAAGTTGAAATTTCGAACTCAGAGTAGGAGAAAAAACTCATTTTGAGAAAACGACCTTTAAAGATTGCAGTGAGGTGCTAGCTAAACCCTCCTGTTCTTTGGATGACAGCTTGCGCATCGACGCACTCCGTTAAGGTATTTCATGTTCAGGGTCTTTTTTTTTTTTTATAACCTTGCTTCGTGCAAGTGACAATTGTTGTCGTCTTCTCTGTGAACGTTTTTTTGGCATTTTGAGATTTCAATTTCTAGCTGAAAGCTAACCAGGAAGTGTTTTAGCACACCACGTGACGCATCTGAACGAATCACGTTGTCATAAATTGACACCAGCCAATGAGATTTCGTTTCTTGGTTTAAGCCCCCTTTGTGCTTTCACGATTGGTTGCTGATACAAAGGAAATGACCATATTTGGATCCGATGAGATTGTGCAGGAGAGACACAGCTTTCCAGCGATACCTCTGTTGACATGGTGCACACAGCCGTCGCGGTACTTTATGTTACGTTAGAATGCTAACTATTGGTGAATTTAGGGGAAATCTACAGACGCAAATAGACAAACTATAGTAAAATAAACACTTAAATGTGTATTTTGTACGTTTTCCTTCCAAAAGCCTGAAAGAAAACATGTTATGGAATCAAAATAGCACAAAATCTCAAAATTGACAAGTACTTGAAAAACGATGTTTTTGCCTGCCGTGTCTCGCCTTACGTGCATGTTGTCATAGTCTACTTTAGGGTAAATAAAATACACATTATATATACCAGCCTATGTTTGTGAAAAGATAGTGATGTCACAATATTATCAACTGTATTGTTTCAGAAATAATTTATATTGTGTCCAGCCTATATTGACTATAAAGCCACTAAACAACAACGACAAATACAGTCACCTAACTAGAATGCACTGTCAGAAAGCAAGCAACCCAACCCTGTCTCCTAAAAATTACGTTCCCACAGAACTAAACTGCATTCTCAATTACGTTTAGCAAGAAACGTATTTTCTCCCACGTTACGTTCGTTATGAACGTATCTCAAATACGTTTATTTTCTACATATCTTCTAGAAGCATATTTTCTCCCACGTTACGTTTCTTATGAACGTATCTTAAATACGTTTATTTTCTACATATCTTTGCCATTTATTGTCTTGCTTATAATAATGATAATAGTCATTTATAAATAACATTTTAGAGCACACATTTGAAATCAGTAGGCGAGGCTGTAATTTCGCCAGCTGTTACTCTCATGAGCGAGGCAGAAAATAATAGTTTTTAACATGCCAAAAAGCTGCTGTGTCGTTTATTGCACCTCAAACGTAGTGACGTACTCTCATCTATTATTCAAAACCATTATATTTATTCTAACGTAAATTACATGCCAGTGTTTTATGTTTTTATTTTAAATCGTATAATGTCGGACTTTTTTTCCCGTCTGTGAGGAAAATAAATACTGAAATCTGTATTTTTGAAAATCTTTTCTTCCTTATTTACTCAACAATAACACACAATTATCCTTGTTTTTATTTATTCGTTTAATTCTATAATCTTGGGCTTTTTTGCATGCTTTTTAGCCGTAAATAAAGTCACCGGAAACAGACGTAGGCCTATAAGGGACATTTTGAGGATACACACAAACCCACTGAACAGATTACCCAAGATCCTCAGCTTGAAGCTTGTTGATTGGATGTTTAGCCGCAATGCATGTTGGGATATGATGTTGATGATGATGATGATGACGAAAAAAATAAATAATAATAATAATACTTTATTCTGAGTGTTCTTGCTTTTATCTTTGGAAGTCATCACATAACGGCATTGTAATACACAGTTCAGCTGCATTAAATATTACACATCTGCTGTAGTTCTTTATTTATAGAGCCCTGATGAGAAGACTTCTGGACAAACAGGAGAACTGCCGCCAAAACTGAATATGTGACGTGGATCATAAATATATCAACAATTAAACAACACCTTGCATTTCTTTTCACAAAATGGAATCACAATTTCAATAGCTTACCATTAAATGACGGATATGGTTTTCTGTCTGTGATGTTTTACAAATCAGATATTAATGTGTAGAAGTAAAGCATGAGAAATAGTATAGCAATATCCTGTAAAATTATGTAAAAACATCAATAAAACTACACATCTTCAGATGTTATACATACATAAGTGTCCTACACTAATAATACAAAGTTGTTATTATTAGTATGCTGTGTGTACCTTGTGTGCACCGTCTAGTGGTTAAAGCACGTTATTGAATTATTTTTGTTGAATAATGTTATTTGATGAAAAAAATATTAAGAGTACATACTTTCATAGGGGGGAAGTAGAAGGTCAATGATAGAAGTATAGAATATAAAAAAATCAAGAAGATACTGTAAGTGATCTCTACAATAAAACAGTTTAGTGCACGATGTACAAAGATATTAATATGAGGATGTGCAAAACAGACAAACTAATTAACCTTTATTAACATATTAAAGAATACTTTAGGTTAAGGTCTTCTTTCAAATAAGAAAAAAGCTTTGGGGGTATCTATCTACAGATAAATATTAAGCCTGACAAAGTACTTAACGTCTAATGTATTGCTTTTCTGCAATGTTAACTATGTTGAAGCACTTATTTTAACTGATATTATACACATTAATTATACTCTTATGTATGTAGATATATAGTATAAGAAATGTGCAGAATTTGACAGTTTAATGGTGGAGGTTCACACATATTGATAGATGTCTTGTAATGCACTGTTGAGGAACCTGTGACCCAAGTGTTTCATTCATTGCATAACTACACCGTAGTTGTGTATATGATATGTCAATAAACCTTAGAAAATCTTGAAATCTTGAAAGGGATGTGCAAAATAGCAATTATATACAGTTTTTAATTAACTATTAGTAGAGAATAACGAGTAATTAATATACTTTATAGAGATCTGCAGATAAATGTTTAGTCTTCTCAAGCACCAACTATCAAATATCTCGCCTGATTGTTGGCACTTGACAATCACCTTTCCCTGAATTTTACTCAGGTGTAACTAAAGTCTGCTTTAAGGGTTGTTTATATTTCACATCAGTAATCAGAATCTGCAGAGTTACTAAAGTAAATGTAGTGGAGTAAAAATACCAGGTTAACCTCTGAATTGTAGTGGAGTAGAATATATATTAATGCTGCCCATTATGGATACAAGCGATTTTCACCCATGTAGTAATTACATATTTTAAATGTGTACACACCAATGTGTTTCCTATCGCCTAAACCTCCAGGGCTGTACACAGTTTAATACTGTCAACTTCTAATTTTTGGAAAAAACGAAAACGTCTTTTAAAACTCCCAGTAGAGACGTGCCATAGAGAACATGTTGCGAAACACAATAGCCAGCATGTGTAGTTCTGGGGGGGCGTTCAAGTCCAGTTTTGAATAGTCTGCCGTGGTTTCGTTCCATTTCAAAGAGCTTGACGCTCGGCGTAACCTTGGCGCACTGCCACTCCAACATCCAATCCCAGAGTTTGAAGATTAATCACGGGGTTTGTCAACGGGACTGTAGTCCCAAACGATAGCTGGGGATTATGGGTAGTGTAGTGTCTTCGGCCATCCTAAACTGAAATGTTTTTCGGATATCATATCGCATTAACAACACCACATCTGGCGTCACAGAGATCTTCTGTTACTGTCCTTTCTTCTTAGAGGAAGTACAGAAACACGTAATAATAAACGAGCTGGCACAGCAGCTTTTTGGCATGTTAAAAACTATTATTTTCTGCCTCGCTCATGAGAGTAACAGCTGGCAAAATTACAGCCTCGCCTACTGATTTCAAATGTGTGCTCTAAAATGTTATTTATAAATGACTATTATCATTATTATAAGCAAGACAATAAATGGCAAAAATATGTAGAAAATAAAGTATTTAAGATACGTTCATAAGAAACGTAACGTTGGAGAAAATATGTTTCTAGAAGATATGTAGAAAATAAACGTATTTGAGATACGTTCATAACGAACGTAACGTGGGAGAAAATACGTTTCTTGCTAAACGTAATTGAGAATGCAGTTTAGTTCTGTGGGAACGTAATTTTTAGGAGACAGGGTTGAGCAACCACTACTTGCAAACATTCTATAGCAATCACAGTTTTACCTGACTTTGATGCTGATCCATTATTTTCTCATTATAACCACCATTCTGTAGTCAATATTTGTGTACATTGGCTGTTTAGGGATTGTTGTTTTGAGAGCTTTTAATTTTGTCTTTATGCAACGAATAGACACCGGCTAACCAAGCTAGCCATTATTGCACTAACTTAGCTGAACGAGAAGAGACCTCTTTTCTATAAATCCTGCCTAAATGAAAATATCCCCAAGGCAACTCGTCATATTAGCTTCAGACAATTGTAAACTCTGTTGTTGTATTAACACTTACCTAGTGATGTCTTCCATGAGCACAGACGGGTCTGGAGGGTAGAACTTGACAGAAAATCCAAAGCTCCAGGAACCAACTGCGGACCAGCAGAAAGGTTGTTTTGTAAAGAATTGCCATATGTGTGTGGATTTGTCTGACTGTGTGTGTGTTTGTTGCACTTACCCCGAATTTGCTTCTTAATCTCTTTAGAGGGATCCAGCCAATGCTGATGAAGAAAGAAAGAGACAATATCCTTTTAAAAATGTCACCTTGGCAAAATCGTAAAACCCCATTCACACTTTTTAAGAGCGTTTTTAAGAACTTTACCTCACTGGCTGCTCTTCCCTCTTTTAATATGCTCCCTAGTTGAAAGCCAAATATAATAAGACTACCAGGCTTCTTAAACACTGAAAGCATCAATCTTAGGGCTATAAATGCCAGTTGAGTCCAGCTCCTATGCTGAATGTCACTAGAGCTTTCATGCTGCACTGTAGACCCAGTTTGCCATTTTTAAAAGGCCATACTGTCTAATCACATTTTAAAAGGTTAAAGGCCATGTATGCCACTCTCAGGCCGCAAGTGGTTGAATATGGTTGAAAGGGCAACTGCGGACTCACTGCTTTATGGCATGTAGAAAAACAGGATGACTAAATGGGAGGCTTGGCTGAAAGGCTCGTTGACATTTGCTCTGATATCAGTGACAAAATCCCCCAAAAAGGAAAATAATCGAATAAAAGTAGCTATAAAGAAACATGCCAAGTGCTTTGCCAACTCATACATCTGGACTTGGACTATACAAAACTTTATAACACAGAAGAACCTTAATGACCCCCTAACAACAATGAACACAGAACAGAAGAACTTCTAAAAAGAGGATTAGAACTGAAGTTCTCTGTTGCATTTGAGACAATGGTAAACATTAAAAAGGCGAGAGCTACCAAGCGCGTGCAAATCCTTTTGGATCAAGCAACACATTGTTAACAAATACAAATGTACCACTTTTACCACAACTTTTAAATGTGCGCCAACATTTTGTGCCAGATGACTATCCAGTAAACCCCAAATAAGAATTCTGAAGGCTTTGCTAGTAAACATGTCATTTGAGCTTCAAAGCCACAAAGAGCTACGAAGCATAATTGATTGGAAATGTGACCGCATGACAGATTTTATTTTATTTGATGAATAAAAACATAATGAACAATCATTAAATAATATATAAATCTAGGCACATAACAAACACCCACTGCCTGTATTATGCACCTCATATTTTTGCGTTTGTGCGGTCTCTCATAAACCACATTTGGAAAACTATTTTGGACTTTTCTCCAGTTAAATCGTAGCCGTTTCCAATGTCTAATTGATGCCCTATGTTTGGTTATATTGCAGCTTACTTTGGTTTGAGCAACAGAGGTTCTTTTACAAATTATATAATGAAATTTGAGGTTTCTCCCATTTTTTCCCCTTTAAACTGTGGGGTTTTCTCTGGAAGTTTTTCCTTGTACGATGTGAGGGTCTAAGGATAGAGGGTGTCGTTTTTCTCATACTGATATTCTGAACAATCTGTGCTGTTGTATTTGCTGTAAAGTGTCTCTACTGTACGCTATTTTTATTATATGTACAGCACTTTGGCTCGACCAAAAATCGTTTATAAATGTGCTATATAAATAAAACTTGATTTGATTTGAAGATAACTGCCTGAAGTAAGATATCTTCATGCATGTGTGTGTTTCTTTGTGTCTGACCTTGGCGTTGTCGGTGTCCTGGAAATTCAGGCCAAAGTAGTCCCTCTCCAGCAGGTTCAGATGGCCACACACCATGTCCAGCAGGGTCTGGCCCTTGGCAAATTTCTGTTACACACACACACACACACACACACACACACACACACACACACACACACACACGTAAGAACCATGGGCGTCGCAGCCATTATATGAGGGTGGGACAAGTCCCCCCCCACCTTTTAAAATGATTAGTTTAGACCCCCCCACTTTTACTATGCGGAAAGTCCGTGAATCGGTCTATCCACTCGCCACTCTCTGTAGGGCGCTGTGTCAGTGCTTCATTATCAAATCCATTCCACTTGCTTATTGTGAGAATGCCCAAACCAATAAAACTCCGTATGTTTTCACTGCTACTTTGTACCAAGGCAGATTCTCAGAGCCGTACACATGAGCTGTACACATGCTGCATTCTGTGCGTAGCTGTGTCTTTAATTGTAAGCCCAGTGGCAATCTGTTCATCTGTCATATCACACAATAAAGCCATCGAAAATAATATGATACAGCATTACAAGTTATTCTGGGTCTTTGTGTGTCTAGCTTGGCTGTGTGGCACGACGAGCGCATTTTGTGTTAGCGAGCGAGAGAGTGAACGAGAGAGCGCTAACGTACACAGTAAGGAGTTGTTTCTACAACAAGGAAGAGGAGAGCTCTCTCCTGTCAGACAAATCTTATAACGCCAGCTCAGGGAGGTAAAGGACTCTGAGTGTTTAGATCGTTGACTTTAGTCCAAGTTATCTCATGTAAACAAGTATTTCCAAGGCACACCTTTTATATGATCAATATAAAAAACAAGAGAATAACAGGTATGAAATCATTCCAACTCATACTATAGGACAGTAAAACAAAAATACTCTTTAAAAGGGGAGTGATTTGTAAAATATGCATAAAGAAAAAGTCAATCTGTTTACAGTTATGTTTCACATGGGTGTTGAGAGATGTATCCATATATTTAGTCCCTAACTTTGCTCTCAAAGTGCAGCAGATAGATTAATTTAATTTCAACATTTAAAAAAAATCTTCCCGGGGGTGCATGCCCCCGGACCCCCCTAGAGGAGGTGAAGTCCACTACCTGCCCACATCCCGCGTCAAATTGTCCCACCCACATTGAGGATGCTTCCTACGCCCATGGTAAGAACACACAGCGAGTGGGCAAGTGACACAGTGCAGGTTCAGGTTGTATGAACATCAAGTCAATTCAATTCAATTCAAAACCTTTATTTATCCAGGTAAAATCCCATTGAGATCAATGATCTCTTTTTCAAGGGAGACCTGCAGCAGTAGGTTCCACAAGAAGACAAACAACAGAACAACAAAAGGACATCATACAGCAAAATGTACAGGGATTACAATTTACATATTTAACCACAAGTACAGGTACCAACAGCATCTGATTTTGTAGCATCCAACAGAGCTTTAAAAACATGTAGTGGTACTAGCTTGGTAATTTTCCATTCTTTTTGCAGACTGTTCCATGTTAGTGGAGCTGCACATCTAAAAGCTTTCTTCCCTAAGACAGTCCTAGCACTTGGCACATTTAATAAAACCACAGCATGCGATCTCAGGCAATAAGTACTTTCAATTCGCAGAGAGATCAGGGAGCAGATATAAGATGGTAGTTTATCCAACATGGCTTTGTAAATGAAAAAGTACCAGTGACTGAGCCTCCGTACAGTAAGTGATGGCATAACCGCCTTGGTATACAGGGTACAGTGATGCGTAAGTGCTTTACAATTTGTCAAAAATCTCAGTGCACTGTGATACGCAGCATCTAACTTGCTCAGGTAATTGACAGGTGCATTCATATATAACAAATCACCATAATCCAGCACAGGTAAAAAGGTCACAGTGACTAGCCTTTTCCTGGCCTCAAGCGAGAAACAGGACTTATTTCTGTAAAAGAAACCTAGCCTAACCCTCAGCTTTTTAAGCAGGTTATTGACATGAAGTTTAAAAGTGAGACAGTCATCAAGCCAGATACCCAAGTATTTGTAACAGGTAACCACTTCAAGTTGTATTTCTTGCGTAGTTACAATATCCAAAGCAGTCTCTGGTGTATTTTTAGCTTTAGCTTTAGCTTTAGAAAAGAGCATTACCTTGGTTTTATCCACATTTAAAAGAAGCTTAAGCTCAGAGAGCTGAGCCTGAATAATGTTAAAAACAGCCTGTAATTTAACAACAGCCTCGTTAATCGAGGGACCTGCACAGTACATAACGGTATCGTCCGCATAAAAATGTAAGGTTGCTCCTTCGACATTTTCACCTAAACTATTAATATAGATGGAGAATAATAGCGGACCTAAAACTGAACCTTGTGGTACACCATTAGTGATGTTTAAACCACTCAGAAGACAGCCCATCAAACTGAACACATTGGGATCTTTCAGAGAGGTAGTTTACAAACCACCCTACTGCATGGCTGGACATGCCTATACTGACCAGCCTTTGCTTCAAAATGCAATGATCGACAGTATCAAAAGCTTTGGATAGGTCAACAAATAGAGCTGCACAACTCTGCTTATTATCTAAAATACTCGTAATATCATTTACCACTTTCATTGTGGCAGTGATGGTGCTATGTTGCTTTCTGAAGCCTGACTGATGTTTAGACAGGATGTCATTGTTACATAAAAACTCCTTTACCTGTTCACTCACTAAGCATTCAAGAACCTTGGCCAGAACTGACAACTTAGAGATGGGTCTATAATTGTTTAATAAGGTGGCCTCCCCTCCTTTTAGTAGTGGCAGGACATAAGCTGACTTCCATACTTTTGGGATTTTGTTCGTGCTGAGGGAGAGGTTAAAAAGAGTAGTAAGAGGTGGAGCAATAAAATCTGCAGCTATCTTTAAAAAGAAAGGTTCTACGTTGTCCGGACCAGCCGGCTTTTTAGGATCTAGCTTGGTTAAGACTTCACGAACAACATCAACAGTAAAAGGAGTAAAACTGAAGGGTTTTCCAGACCACATTGTTCTGAGTCACCGACTGTGGTGTTCACAGAAGCAGAATTAGAAACAGAAAGCCACAGGACACAAAATGCTCATTAAAACAATTTAGTATGGTGGTCCTATCCGATATAGTGCCAGATACTGTGGTAAGGCACGGAGGTAGCTCATTACGGATATCACCGGTGGATATCGATTTAATGGCTTTCCAGAATTTTCTAGGGTTGTTCAGGTTCTTTGTGGTAACTGACAGATAATACTTAGATTTAGCACTTTTGACATGTGAAGTGAAGCTATTTCTTAGCTGCCTAAAACGCAGCCATTCTACCTCTGAGCCTGAATTCCTAGCCTTTGCCCAGGCCTTGTTTCTCTCATGTAGGAGAATAGATAATTCAGCAGAAAACCAAGGATTGTCTCGTCCCTTCACTCTAAATTTACGCAGGGGTGCATGTCTATCTATAATTTCCATAAAACCAAGATAAAAATAAGACCATGCGGTTTCTACATCAGCACACAGATCGATTTTTCCCCAATCAGATCATGCACAAAACCCTGCTCCACAAAATGTTTGATGTCTCTCTTGATGATAATACGAGGTTTAACCTTTTGGACCTTAGTGTCCCTAATTGTGGCTACAACACAGTGGTCACTCAGATCATTCGCAAATACTCCCACAGCTAGTATTTATAGGGAACATTAGTTAAAATGAGATCAATTAGGGAGGATTTATTTGGGGACTTAATATTAGGGCGAGTAGGACAGAAGTACTGTGGAAGACAAAAAGAAGAGGACAGAGTGTAATAATGCAAGTTTATTGAAGATGTCAGAAGACACATGCAGCATAACTCCCTTTATCACTCTCAGTCGAAGGGCGATTGGAATTTATACGATTTTACAATATTTACTTTAACTGAATAGAGCATGTACTCATCACAAAGGAATCTCTGTTTTCATTTGAGATTATTAGTGTTTAGCCAAACAAGACAAAACATCTAACATAACTAGCTCTCCTCTTGACAATTTCAACAGAGATTTGTTTTTCACAGTGTAGCATTATCAGGGGGAAATGGGATGCGTTCAGGTTTATTAGGGCCCATTCTTTCAGTTTTCAATTGATCCAGACAAAATGAAACCTGTTACAGTATGCATACTGTAGTGTATGGCACTGTGCATGCCAGAAAGCATATATTAAGGGAATAGATTGACACCAATTAATGCAAATCCAAGGAATGGGACAACCATTAACCAGGTCATCAGGGTATCGTCAGCCTTCTTTCTCTTCTCGTATTTTTTTGTCTAAATCTACAGTATTTGCAAAATACCACCAAAAAGATCCTCTTTGAAGAAATAATAATAATAAAAAATGTATTCTGTTGTATTCAATATATAATTATTTGGTTGCTTATATTTATTTATAATAATTTTACCTACTAGACAATTAGTTTTTGTTTTACTCATATTTTATAACACAGAGGAGTGAAAATCTGTGACATAGAAATCCGCCCCAACGGTGGTCTGGGAGAAGCTTCCAGTCTGCCCCCCCCCTGCGGAGCAGGAGGAGCCACAGTCCCTCTCTATGCCTGTATAAGGGGAGGAAATGCATTGGCATCAGTGGCGTTTCAGCAGACCACACCTATTTTCTCTTTAGCCCTTCAGAGAGGAAACAAGCCCACTGTGGGATACACACACTGCCTCGGCAAAATGCTATCTCCACACACAGAGACACACACACACAGGAACACACGCCAGATTCGTCTCCTAGGGAAACCTGGCTCCTATGGCGACAAAGCAACCAAGCAGCTGTTACCATGGAAACAGAAGTAATAGGTCCCTTCTGTATGTGCATGTGCCCTCTCTCTCCGGTTAATACAAGGTCCCGACAGAGCTTTGTTCAGCTCTTGAGCAGTAGAGAAAGCATATATTTAAAATATTTAGGAGAGACGTATAAATTAACCATTATAATGCTATCTGTCTCTCAATCAAATTAATAATAACTTATACCCTGCTGCAATGAGGCTGCATGGGCGAAGCAGTGACATAATAATGCTGATTAACAGGCAGAGGCTGCAGTCAGTATTTTTTTTTATTTTGGGAGCGGCGCATACATTCGATTTTCTTACAAA